AGCTTTTACATAAAAAAATTGTTTAATTCTTTTCCATTCATCTCTTCTTCCTTTATAAAGCTTTATTTCCTACTCCCATGAAATTTTTATTTGCATACAATGTTATACATATTATCATGTTCCAAAAAAATTGAGGGCCACCTAAATAATTTATAATTTATAGATTAAATATTCAAATTAATATATATATATATATATATATATATATATATATATATATATATATATATATATATATATATATATATATATATATATATATATAATATTTAAATTGTATAAAGTTTAACAAAACAAATAGTATGACTATATATATATATATATATATATATATATATATATATATATATATATATATATATATATATATATATATATATATATATATATATATATATATATATATATATATATATATATATATATATATATATATATATATATATATATATATATATATATATATATATATATATATATATATATATATAATATTTAAATTGTATAAAGTTTAACAAAACAAATAGTATGACTAAAAATATTTTAAAATAATGTTTTATGTCTTTAAGTAGTTTGAAATCATCAATTATAGACTTAGAATCAATGTTTGTAGCAATTTTTCTTTTAATATTAATTCTATTCAATTTTCTAAAAACTTTGTTTTTATTTTGCTTCTCAATCTTTTCTTGATAATTTTTTTCATTGTTGATCTCAAGTTCGCGTCACTGTGACTATGATGTATTGTCTGCTTTGCCTTTGGGACTTTGCCGTTTAGAAAAAGTCTATCGTTGAGTTGATGTGTATGAGTGTTGTATATAAACTACCTTTTGCCTCGATTCCCGATGTATGACTATTTTAGCCATAGCCATCCTAGAACAATTTCCCCCTACCTGAGGCTAAGGGGAATGGTGAGAACTTCAAGTTTCCACAAACGACATCAATGTTCTGATCGACCTCAAGTCCACGTCATTGAGACTACGGGGTATTTTTTGCTTTGGGTGTGAGTACTCTCATCACTTTGTCTTTTACCTCGATTCTCTTTGTCTTGTTGGGTTGAGGTGCATGTGCATTGTATATAAACTACCATTTGTCTCATTAGGTTGAGGTGCGTGTGCATTGTATATAAACTATCCTTAATCTTGATTTCCAAGCAATATGTGACTTTTTTGGTTAGCCCTGAACAAATGGATATTCCAAAATTGAGGAAAGTTTTCCAAGTTCACGTTCTAAAGAATTTCCAATGTCATCCAGAAAAAATCTAATAACATTTTCTTCAATTTTGGATTCTCATAAATTCTTTAAGTTTCAGACATAAAAGTTATATTTACATACTAGTGCACTTTTAAACTTTTGTTATTTTTCTAGATTTTGATTTCCCACAAGTTCTCTTGTTGTGTTATTATCAAAGTCACCTTAGGAAAAATTTTGTATCAATTTACACTATAATATGAGGTTTCTATTACAACTTTATATCATGAATATGCTTCTGCTCGTATATATTGTTTTGTTTAGGTTTGTGAGTGCAATATGCTCTTAAATGTATTTTGAATGATGTCAAAATTAGGTAGCTTAGATCTTTGTGTATTTGGATCTTACAATCTTTGTCTAAATGTGCATCATCATCATAGAACATGTAAGAGTAGATTAAAAAAGTCATCACATGCCAAAATATGAGTTTTTCACAAAAAGACATGCATGGGACGATACATATTTAGTGAAATTTAAAAGAATTTGGATTTGCCTTCAATGGATCGATACATCCTATGAATGGGTCGACTCATTCTTGGTTAGGTCGGTTCAATCTGAAAGATATTTTTCAGGATTTGCCATTGTCTTTAATGTATCGATACATTGAGTGAATGGGTCGACTCACCCGCGTTTGGAGTCGACTCATCCTAAAACTTTTTTCTTTACAAATTGGCTACTGTCTCCAATGTATTGACTCCATTTTGTCTCGTATTGACTCATTCAGCTGATGTGTTGATTCATTCCATTTTAGAGTCAATACATTATGTATCAATTTTTTAAAATTTTATTTTGGCTAAAAATATGTTTTTCTCATTTCTTTTCTACACACACATACATATAAATTTTCATTCATGCATCATTTCTAAGCATTGAAACGTAAAAGGTACAAAGAATTCTCATAATTTTCAACCTTTCTTGACGCATTCATCAACTACACATAATCATTTTTGAATGTTTGTTGGAAAGATAAGAGTTATCATGTCCAATCTAGGTTGTGTAATTAAAATTGGGTTGAGGTTTTCTTTGGGAGATCCAATGATAAAACTGTTGTGAATCTTGTTGTGAATTACGACAAAATTCAATATGAATTTGTGAGGAAAAGAACAATAGCAACCAAAACAAATGATCTTCAGCAAAAATAGTATGTACACAGATAATATAACAGAATAAGGCAAGAAAAAACCGAAGGTTTGTTTATCCAGTTCGATCAAACGATTTACTCTGGGGGAGAGAGAAGCTCTCCAATTCACCATACTAATAAAGTTGTTACAAGAGATTACAGATGAGTTACAAGAAAATATCCTTCACCTTCAGGTTCCCAAGAACAACCCTGAAGGCGCCCAAGAACAACCCTATTTTCTACCCAAGTGTTTCCCTACCTCTCCAACTCTCAATATTTGAATCACTTAAACCCAAGGTATAATCCAAAATTTTCTTTGTGCATAGCTAAAATCATATGTTATACCTTTAAACCCTTGGTCTCCCTTGTTGGTGAAAACTCTAAAATTTTCACACACCAAACATATAAAAGATACACATTTATAATAACAAATACCCAACAAACAAAGTCCAAAATCACATGGGTCCATTGACCGAATCGAAAAAAGCCTGAAAACTCGAAAACACTAGTCATTGTACGGACATCACTATTCATCTGTACTGGAGTCACTATTCATTCGTACGGACGTTACTATTCATTCGTACGGACGTCAGTATTCATTTGTACAGACGTCACTATTCATCCGACCGCTTTTTTCTTTTGACTTTTCGTCAGACTTTCTAAAACTTCCGATTTTCGCGGTAAATGAAATCTCCAAAATATATTTTCTTCCTCTTCGTCAATAAAGTTTTTAAGGCACATTTACAACAAAAACCTTTAGGATTTTTACTCCAAGATCAAGGGTTGATTTGGAGGTTTTTGCACAAGTCTTGTCAAGTTGGATTCAGCCAAGCGAAAGCTTTGAAGAACGAGGGTTCTTGCAAAGAAGTAGAAGTAATCGGAGGATCAACTGAAAGTCTTGGGGCAAGATTTTACAATTTGGATTCAGCCGAGTGAAAGTTTTGAAGAACGAAAGGTTCAGTCAAATGAGTAGTGGTAACTGGAGGATCATATTGGAGATCTTGTGTGACTTGATCTTGCTAAGATCAAGGATAGAGAAGGAGTTAGGATCAACATCAAACATTGAGTTTGAGGTTTGAATTTCTATACTTCTCTTGTAAACTGATATTGCAAAGGTTAATTACAATATTTCAATTTGACTTCGAATGGAAGGAAGACACATTCATAGTGAGGACAATTGGAAAAATGCCTAAACAAATCTTGGTTCTATGTCTCTGTCTCACTCTCATATATATATATATATATATATATATATATATATATATATATATATATATATATATATATATATATATATATATATATATATATATATATATATATATATATATATATATATATATATATATATATATATATATATATATATATATATATATATATATATATATATATATATATATATATATATATATATATATATATATATATATATATATATATATATATATATATATATATATATATATATGTATATATATTTCCTTTGATTTTGAGAACAGTTATTGTGTAATTTCAATTGTTGAAAATTCTGATTGTGTTGAAGTGTTTGAAACTGTTTTTGTGAAAGCATTACATTCTAAACCATTGTAATTGATTGGTCATAACTTCAACATAAAGATAGTCAAGCTTGGTGTATTACGCACCAAGTGCTCAATAAAATCACTACATACTAAGTGTTCGACAAAATTCCTTAGTCAAGTTTTATTTTACTTGTCATTGGATATCACTTATCTTAAGTGAGGTTTATATTCAAACAAATTATATTGAACTTTTTAATTGGATTTTCTCATCTTTAGCATACATTATACTACGGTTGTATGCATATCCCAATTCTACCAATAATGGTTCGGAAGATGAGAGTCGGTCCTAATTCGCTTCCGCTTGCCGTAGAAAATTATTTTTCAAAATAGAGTTTTAATAAGAATATTTTCATTAGGCGATATCTTCAACCCCCTTTATAGATCGTTGTCCTCGTCTAACAAAGTTGATTTTAAGCATGTTTGAGTAGAACCTTTTAGAATTAAGGACATGAGGATTGTCTAAATGGAAGACCTCATGCAAGTTATCTAATAAATGTAAATAACGAGAATTATATTTTGTTTTAATTTATAAACATATATATTCGCTACGAAAGTAGGAACAATTTGGACTTAATTATACACTGAAAGGGTATATTGATACCTCACTTAGAAATTTTGGACATTTGAACTTTATGCGGTGAAAGTATTGCAGGCTCAACTAAGAAATGCTCTATCATTTTTATAGTTGTGTTTTTCAAGGATTCTAAAAGAATGAAGTATGTTGCAAAAACAGATAACTCGTTAATTTAGGACACGATGATGCGCTGACGAAAATAGGCACTACCAACAATTTCTATTATTTTTCTACAAATAAACTTGTTATTTTTCTAAATTATTCTTTTCTTGAGGAGAATAAAAGAACAAACTGAAATGAAGTAATTGAAAACAATAATAAAGAACATGAATGAGGAATTGGATACCCAATATCATTATATATACATTTTGTAATAAATTAACAACATAACGGTACCACATTTCTCAGTACAGCTTATTATTCTCTGACCATAATCTATAATCTACAATAATCTATCTAATGTGCTTACTAGTTACTACCATAGAGAAACATATCTGAAGCTGCTACTACTTTCTTCCCAAAACCTAACAACGTTACCGTTAAGCGCCGTTAAATCCTGACATGTATACCATCCATTCTCGTTCTCTCCCGTTCTCGTCTTCAACAACTTCTCCCACCACTCCAATCTTTCTTCTCTGTCTTCCCATAACTCCGCCGTTAATGTTAACGTCTCGTTGCATTTTCTGTTAACCACATCAACATCATCCTCGTAGTAGTACGAGGTAAACTTCATCTTTCCCTTCGTCACTCCGTCAACGTCGTTAACCACGCCGTTACTGTGAACACGAACCGGAACATTATCATTATCATGACAAGGCTCCACCAACAACTCCGGAACCGCGTCGGGCTTGTCGGATGGACTGTCATGGATAGAAGGAGGTAGTAATTCGGGGTTGGGAGTTCGGATCCTCCAGAAGATGACGGCGAGCCATGTCCATAGATTGTTAAAGAAATCGAAGCTCAAGTAGTTGAAAGCTAGAGCTTCTAGGGGAGAATCTTCTAAGATGTTCATCTCTCTTTTTTTTTGTGAGGTTGTTTATTCTTCACTGTAATTGTTGATGGTGGTGAAGGGATGATAAGAGGGGTGTGAGTAAGTGAGAATGGTGAAAGAAGAATTTATTTATGGAGAGGAGAAAAATGAGTGAGAGCAACATCATAAGTGGGGACCGAACATAGGATCTCACAAAAGATGCTGAGAATCCATACCTAAGATGCCTGCATACTACTAATTATGCTACTTCAAATTATTACTGCTAATACTAAAATATTCTCTAAGTTATTTTTATTTTTTAAGTATCATATTTTTTTTCTTCTTTTTAGACCTATAGTGTTAATCAATATTGTTATTTTTAAAATAATAATTCTTCTTTTACATATAATATTTTTAATTGCTTATTAAATTTATTTTATTTTATTTTCTCTATGATAAATATCTAAAAATTTTTTTGACAATAATACAATTAATATTATCTTGAATTTTTCAAATAACAATTAAAAAAGAACAAAAAATAATCAATAAAGTGACATTTTAAAATAAATGGATGTAATATAAATATAAATTTAATTAGAATTTTAATTTATAGTTTTATTTTAGTCTCTTAATTACTTTCTCCATCTTAAAATAAGTGTTATATTTTACACATAGATTAAAAAAATATAATAAATATAAGAGAGATAATAGTATATTCACTAAATTATTCTTACCAACTATTGATTTCAAAATAATATTAATATATAATGGGAACTCAATAAATTAAAAATATTAATTAAATGATATAATTGGAAAATAAAACTTAAAATTGCGTTGGTAATTTAAAGTGACAAGTATTTTAGGACAAATAATGTGTTAGAAGTTGTAATTCAATATTCTATCGAAAACTAGCATTGCACTATGTCGAAGTAGTTAGAATTCAATGTTATGTTGAAAAAACTAGTTTGAGGTATAGAAGTAAGTTGTATTCGACTGAGTCGAATACAACATTTAGTGTTTTGAGCATGTGTCAAATTGTATAATTTTGGATTTGGACTTTAATTACCTATATAAAGGCCATAGTATTTTGTAAGTAAAAGAGAACTTCACTCTATACGAGTCCTTATTTTCATAATTCAATTTATAATTTTTCTCTTTTTTTCTCTCTTTTTCTACTTGTTTCATCTTTCTTAAAAATCCTTTGTTCCAACAAATTGGTATAACAGAGCCCGACTGCGATTCAGAGAGAATTTGTAATGGCAAATGTAACAATGACATCAACGCAATTTTTAGGGAATTTACCTGTTTTCAAAGGGGAGAACTACGAATGGTGGGTTAGACATATGAAAGTCATCTTCAGATTTTAAGATGGATCTGAAATCATGAACGATGAAGTACCAACATTGAAAGCGAAGGCAGATGATGTTCAGCAAAAGTTTGTTCTCGATTCACCAGTGTGTTGTTCTAATGTATTTGAGAAGATTATTGAAGAAGAAACGATGAAAGGAGCGTGAGACAAGTTGAAGAGCTTGTACAACAGAGATGAAAAGCTGAAGAGGGTGAAGTTACAAATATTAGGAAAGTAATTTAAGATGACTCAGACGAAGGAAGGTGAATTTGTCTCAGAATATCTTTAATGTGTGGTGGTGTTAACGAACCAGATGAAGTTGTATGGTGAATCAATCATCGATTTGCAGAAGAATGAGAAAGTGTTGAGATCTTTGATTACGAAGTTTGATTACATTGTAGTGTCAAGAGCCTAGCTGAGATGAAGTTAGAAGAACTTTAAGCTTCATTTAGGCTTATAAGATGAGGCTAAGGTAGAGGAACTCAAAAAGGGAGAAGGTAGTAGAACATGCACTAGAAGCAAGATTCATCGAGAAATCTGGGAAAGAGAAGGGAAAGAATCATGCTAATAATGAGTGTAACACCCCAATTTTTAATCGAAATATTTTAATTTATTTATTTAATTGAGAATATTCGTATTTTGGGTGTTTCTTGTGATTTCCGGTGTTTTGTGGAATTATTGAGAATTATGCAATTTGTCGGTTATTTATTTAATTGATAGTACATAATATTAATTTATTAGTATTATTATGAATTAAAATAAATAATAGTGAAAGAAGTGTAATTGGGACAATTGAGAGGAGTAAGTGAGGGTATAATGGAGAAAGCCCAACTATTTGGCTCAAGTCTAGGTTTAATAAAAAGAGAGTTCTTAAGGGTTTTTAGAATTCATTTGTGTTAACCGTAAGAATTGAGGCCAAGAGAACTCTGGAGAGGAAATTAGAGGCAGAAGAGTTGAAAGATTCCCTGACAGATTCGTGAAGGCTTTGAATCGACGTTTAAGGTATGGGGAGTATAGCTTTTCATAATTTCTTATGTGTAGATTTCAATGTGATTATGGTTGATTTAAGGGTTTTATGGAGAATTATGGGGGAAAGTGATTTTGGCCTTCGTGGCCTAAATCTATTATTGGGATTTTGACCGTGGGGATTAATTTGGGTTAAAGAGGATTAGAAGGATATGAGAACAAGTGATCCATGGCCTTCGTGGACAAAATCCAGTTGTGGGAACTCTGATGTTTGGTGTAATGGTAAGTATTCCTGACAGTAGAGTATAATATGGGAAAGGGAAACCTTAGGCCTTCGTGGCCAAGACCTTGAATTGTTATATGTCTGACCCTGAGGGAATAGGAATATTTGAATGTGAGTAACTCAGATGCCTTTAGGGAAATTGTAAGGAAATTGTGATTTAGGACATGAATATGTTCTGGGATTTGCCTAATAAACCGTAGGTTTTGTGCCTTTATCGTCGTAGGACCTTAGGGATGATTTAGGGATGTTTTGGGGGCATTGGGTAAGTGAATCGTAGAGCCTTTTGGGTAGAAATCAATTCTGGTGCGTAGCAGAATTTGCTGTCATCGCACAGTTCGCCTAGCGAAGAAACTCGCCCCAGACTCGCCTAGGGAACATGCCAGCGAACGTAGCAGAGTTTCGCGAATGTTGATCGTGTGCAGCGATGCCTTGATGTTTGATTCTGTGATTTTTGTGATGAACTAACATGAGTATGACTGTGAGTTTTATGTGATGTATACATGATGACATGATGATTTATATGACTTAATATGATGATATTACCATGACTTTGATGAATTACATGATAATATGGGATATGATGATGATTGCCATGATGATGAATATGATGAATAACGATGCACCTATGTTGTTATATGAGGATGATTTGTGATGTTTGCATCATGCATTCATGTGCATCCGGACTTCGGTTCAGGACCTCGATTACTTTGGCTTCAATCTCATTGTATGGATGTGAAGTGTTTTGATGTGCTCCGGTTCTCTAATAGAATCGATCCTATTGATGGGGGATCTATGGAGGTTTGATGGCCAAATGTCCATCGTGCTGTGATGATTGGTACCACATGCATTGAGTCTATGTTGCATTTGCATTTATGAGCCTTTTGTATAAATTATGATGTTGTGGCCTTCGAGGCCTATCGAAGGATATAAATGTGTTGAATACAAATATGTCACCGTTTATATGTTGATTTTTATACATTGGTTATTATGAATTGTTTTACTCACCCTGCCTGTTTGAATGTTACCTCCACGTGGGTAACGTGCAGATGACTGAGTTTAGCCGTGGACGCCGTCGAGGAGTATTTTTGAAGTTTTTGAGTTTTTAGCCTTTTGGTTAGCTTAAAGGGTCTTGCTCTGATATGTAACATCGGGTTGGGTTCTTTTGAGTTAAACTATATATTGTTGAGTTATTTTGCTTATTTTTCCCTGATGAGGAAACCTTGATTTATGCCTTTGAGTTCCGCTGCTTTGTGCGATTTGACTCTTTTGAGAAACCCGTTGTTTATGGAGCCTTGACCGATTTTGTTGATTTGGGAAATGTACGCCCTTTTGAGGTGGCTTTTTATGAAATTTAATAATTTACTCTGATATCTGTGTAATTTTTCCATGATAATTATGGGGTAGAAAAGGGTGTTACATTAGTGGTATCAGAGCAGGTCGGTCCGTCCGACCAAGTTTTTATGTTGTTAGTCCCGTGTCAGTCGATAGTGTGAAAACACTATTGATGAGTTGTTTTCTTCTAACCTTGTTGGTGGTTGTAGATGGCTGGAAGAAATGATCGTGCTATTGCTGATGCGCTGGAATCACTTGCCTAAGTGATGACTCAGAATGGTGGACCTCCATATGAGTTTCGTGCTTTGAGAAAGTTCCAGAGGAACAATCCGCCGACTTTTGTGGGCACTCATGATCCTGATGGTGCACAGAAGTGGCTAAAAGTGATTGAGAAGATTTTCCGAGTTATGGAGTGCACTATGCTCAGCGGGTGAAGTTTGGTACGCATATGCTAGCAGAGGAAGCTGAGGACTAGTGGGATAACACTCGTTAGAGATTGGGAGATGCTGACATTGTAACAACTTGGGTTGTGTTCAAGGAAGAATTTTTGAAGAAGTATTTTCCTGAAGATGTTCGGGGGAAGAAAGAGGTGGAATTCCTTGAGCTGAAACAAGGGAATATGAGTGTGGCTGAGTATGCGGCAAAGTTTGAGTCTTTGGTAATGTTTTATCTACATTACAACCGTGTTGATGCAGAGATGTCGAAGTGTCTCAAGTTTGAGAATGGTTTGAGACCAGAGATTAAGCAGGGAATTGGGTACCAGCAGATTTGTCGGTTTTTGGAACTGGTGGACAAGAGCAGAATTTATGATGAGGATAACCAAGCTCGATCTACTCACTACAAGCAGCTGAGTGAGAAGAAAGAGAAAGGTCAGTATAGAGGGAAGTCGTATGTGACTTCTAGTGACAAAGGGAAGCAGAAGGCTTCTGATGGGAAAAAGCCAAGTGGGGGAGCGGTTACTGCTCCAGGTAAGTGTTATAAGTGTGGCGAGCAAGGCCACCATGCTGAGAATTGCAGAGCGCTGAGATGTCATCATTGTGGCAAGAGGGGTCATAGAGCTACTGATTGTAAAAACGAAGCTCCGACTTGCTTCAACTGTGGAGAGAAGGGTCA